TATTGGTTTTCAACAAAGTTAAATTGAAATATCTTCATAAACACTTGCCAGTACTCAAATGTCTAAATTTGAAAATTATTTAACTAATTAAAATCAACTCTACGTAGCAATAAAACTTTCGCACACTTCTCATATAACCCAACAACTGTTGGACCTTACTCAACACTGTATGAGAACTTTATTTATATTTTGACTAAACCCCATCAATCAGTGCTCTTAATTGAGACACGCTTCCTTAGCATGCTCACACGTCTATGTATGTACATATGTCTGCATCTATACCTACACACATATGTACGTGCTACTGTTTGCGAATGGCGGGCGGCAGTGAGTGAAATATCTGTATTTATTTACATCTATGTATGTACAACTCTATTTTTTAATTCATGCGCTGAATTAAAATATACCAGAACCATAAATAACGGCAGCAGCAGCACCCTCCCGCTTCTAATATTGCCAATGCAATCAATCATCGTCAGCGACGCGGCAGGAATACATACTTACATGTACATATGTACATAAGAATACTTGAGTCTGCACACACATCCACATATACATATATGTTATGCATCGCTATAGCTATGTGTATATGTATGCCTGGCACGAATCAGGCACTCACACTGCCATACCCCCCACTTACGCCCTCAAGCCAGCTACAATAAAAGTCTAAGATGTACACACACATACATATACTCACATTWTATGCTGTGTATTTGTAGAGTTGTTAAAATAAGATATGCAAATTGAAAAGTGCACATTTCAACGCTACATTTYCAATGGGCAAAAGGGGAACGAGTTTTGTCATGGTGTGTCTGCATTTGCGGGCTGAGGGCGGCAACAAGAAATAGAYGCTTAATTGAACGTTAAGTAACAAATTTTAATATTTACATATATTTTATTGCGTCTGCGCCACATCGTCTAACGCGCTGATAGTGTGTGATTATTATATATTGTATATTATAAAGTTGATGTATATACATACGTACATATGTATATAAGCGCGGTARGAAAATAATTTAATTTGCATAAAAGTAAGCATTTTTGTAGCATAAAAAGGTATACAAAGATATTTATACTGATTTTGATGGGTCACTTTGTATGACAGCTATATGCTATAGTAGTCTGATCTGAAAAATTTCTTTGGACATAGTAGCTATACTTTGGTTAATAATCTGTGGAAAATTTTGCGTAGATACTTTGWCAAATAAAAAAGTTTTTCATACAAGGACTTAGTTTTGATCGGTCAGGTTGTATGGCAACTATAAGCTGTTGTAATCCGATCTGGAAAATTCGTTTGAAATTTGTAGCGATAACCAAAATAATAATCTGTACAAAATTACATATACTTATCTTCTCAAATAAAGTTTTCCCTACATGGACTGAAGTTGGATCGACGAGTTTGTATGGCAGCTATACGCTGTAGTTGTTCGATATCGCCATTTCCGACAAATGAGCAGCTTATTGGACAGTAAAGTGCTTGTGCAAAATTTCAGGTTGATATCTTAAAAACTGAGAGACTAGTTTGCGGASTGACGTAAGAGATAGGGACGGATATGCTATATGGGTTCACGCTGCTCATCAATTATAATTTATAGAGTTTCCKAAAGTTTCTAATTGCTACAAAAAATATTTCTTCCAAGATGTGGATAATGGATAATTCGAAAAAAAAAATTTTCAAATCGTAGTAAATAAGTAATGAARTTTCTTTATGCTAGTTTGCAAAGGTTTTAAAAACTTAAAAAAAAAAACTAAAAAAAGGCATATTTTTTTACTTTCATTCAAATTTCATTACAGACATCTCGGAAAATGTCATGATTTTATAAAAAMTACTGTATTTTGGTACATTTGTATCATCAAAGCCAACCTCAAATTTCCCACCAGTTGCACTGTGATGCGGAAAAAAATTATAAAAATGCATTTCACAGTCCTTACGCTTGGCTCACATCTGCATAAACCACTTCTAACTCCATAGCGAAGCGKCAACTAGTCTCCAAACCCACTACCCCAAACACTACTGCCGTGCAATGAGTTTGCAACGCCTGACAATCAACGCTGATGTGGTTCGTTGCGGTTCAATTCAGCAYGACTCTGCTCGGCTGCTCCTCTAGTGGCACTTCGYTGTTCGACCAGACGTTCAAATTCAAAATCAATTCAATTCGTTCATTTCATTTCGTTTTTGCAATTCAATTGCAACTCAAACGACGTGATTTGTATCGCGTATGAGCATAACACAAGCCACTTGTATGKATGCGTGTGTGTGTGCTTGTGTTGCTGTGTTTGTAAGTCTATGACAGTAAATATAATCATCGCCAATAGCAACAATAAAATCTATAATAGTCGCTCAAGTAACATATTTTTATAGAAACTARGCATGCTTGCTGGTAAATTATAGTTAATTGTCAATTAATTAAATTATCACTCATTTTTCTACTTATCAGATTATAATTGCGTAATGTCTGTGTAAATATAGCATCAGCGTAATCATAAAAAGATTGAAAATTGTTGGAAAATATGCGATTTATTGGATTTTAATTAATACAAGAAGAAATTTTGAAATATTTTAAAATGACGCAGGAAAATACAGTATTTTCCGAATTGTTATGGTACTGGGAATAGAATACCCCTAAGGTTAAATTTAGAACTATCTAGGGAGATATTGTTTTGAAATTTTGCATACACTTTTTTCTTTCTAGAAAGCTGCTCACTTGTCGTAAACGCCAATATCGGCCAACTATATCATATAGCTGGCATACAAACTAACCAATCCAACACAAGTTCTTGTAGGGAAAACTTTTTTATTTGATCACATATTTTCACCAAATTTAGTGTGGATGATTTTCACAAACAACTCTATAATCTCTGAAGAAATTGTTGACATCGCTGTACCATAGCACATAGCTGCCATACAAACTGAACGACCTAACTCAAGTGCTTGTATGAAAAACTTTTGTAGTTGTCTAGGTGCCTTCACGAATTTTGGCGTAGATAATTCTCTAAAGCAACGGTATAAGTTTTGCAGAAACTGTTCAGATAAAACCACTATAGCATATAGCTGTCATACAAACTGATACATCCAATTTCAGTCCTTGTATAGAAAATTTTTGTATTGGTCGAGGTATCTTCACAAAATTTTGCTTGACTTATAGTTTAAGGGAACGGTACAATCTCCGTAGAAATTGTTCAAATCGGACCACTATAGCTTATAGCTMTCATACAAACTGATCAATCAAAATGAAGTCCTGCTRTGGAAAACTTTCTTRTTTGACAAKATATCTTCAGAAAATTAGGTATGGAYGATTGCGCAATGCAACGCTGTAATTTCCAAAAATATTGTTAAGATCAAGCTATTTTATAAACCATACAAACTGACCATTTAAAATCTAGATAAAATTATTTGTATAACATTTTATGCCATCAATATGCCCAGTTGTGGTTTATTAAAATAATTTCAGACAAATTATGTGTATATAAGTATGTATCCGTTCATGCCTAAGCAACACTATGTGTTAGTGTTCTGCTGCAGCACCTTGCTGAGTTCATAAAATATATGCAAGGAAATTTTCGCAGCAAAATGCTTTATTTGCCCGACCATAGAATGGAATGAATGAAGCGAGAACAATCAATGAAAGCATTTGTTCACAGTTAATTAACATGCCAAGACAAATATTATTATTATTGCTATTTCTCTAAATAAATTTTTAACAAACAATACATTTTTTCTGTTTATCTACAATTATATAATACTGAAAATATGCGGGTAATAATTTTTATTTTAATGTGATTTTAGAATGCAAACAAATGTTATATGACTTTTTTCACACTCGCCGTGGAATTGTCTAGAGAAAAACTACAAAACAATGTCAGATAAAATAAGGAAAAACTTCGTCTTTGCTGAAGTCATAATACCCTTCTCGGGTACATTTTTTCTATAGCATCAATTGGTATAAAAAGATGCTTATCTTGTTTGGGGTGGGTCATTTTGTATGGCAGCTACATATGTACTATATATGCTGCAATTGTCTTAGCTCAAAATATGTATGTTTTTGACGAAAATTATACCATTTGAGAGAAAAAAAATGCAAAATTTCATGAGGATATCTCATCAATTAAAAAAGCTTTTCATACAAGAACTTGAGTTTGATCGTTCGGTTTGTATGGTAGCTATATGCCTAAGTGATCCGAAAACCGCCAATTTTTCGCAGATTGTACCGTTATTTTAGGTAATAATATGTGCGAAATTTCATGAAGATATCTCATCAATTAAAAAAGTTTTTCATACAAGAACTTGAGTTTGATCGTTCGGTTTGTATRGCAGTCATATGCTATAGTAGCCGGTTTTCAAMAATTTTCTRCGGAAATTRTACCRTGGCTTYGASAAACAATAAGTRTCAAATTTCGGGAAGATATCTCGGTAATTAAAAAAAATTTTCATACAAGAACTTGAGTTTAATGATGGGTCGGTTTGTATGGCAACTAAATGCTATAGAGGACCGATTTGATTTTTTTTTACGGAAATTGTACCGTTGTTTTTAGAAACAATAAGTGTCAAATTTCGGGAAAATATCTCATCAATTAAAAAAGTTTTTAATACACAGACTTGATTTTAATTGTTCAGTTTGTATGGCAGTTATATCCTATAGTGGTTCGATAACGACGATTCCGACAAATGCGCAATTTCTTTGCGAGAAAGAGATGTATACAAAATTTTAAATCGAAATCWYAAAAACTAAAGGCATATATACAGACTGAAAGACAACAGAACCTGGCTAGACTAACTCGTCTTCCCACAAACTTAATTTCATTTAATTTAATTAAAAAAAAAAATATTTACCAATCCTCCAGCATTGGCTTTTGTATGCTACGAACTTCATGACAAACCTAATCTACCCCATCTTGGGTATAATGCGAATGCTTCCACATTTTTACTCACCTTATTTACTTAGCGTGCAAATAATTGCTTATTTATATTCATATTTATTTACTTATTTATATTTTTTTAGCTTGCGACATCTTCAACTGCTGCCACGCCTACTATGTGTTTCGCCATGCAACTTTATGGATTTGCCAAGTGTGCTTTGGGTTGCGTTATTTGTRCGCGGTAATAAAATTTATGCGACGCTGAGCACGCGCGGGCGCTAAACGCTACAAATAAACGCGGCCTAACCAACAACAACAACAACCAGTTGCAAGCAAACAATATATGCAAAGGTAAGTAGTATGCTTTATTATTATTATATTTTATCATTTTTGTATACATACATTGCGCCGAACCTCGACGCTGAAGCCGCGCTGGTCGCRGTCGCTATRGGTGAGCGGCCGCGCCTTGCTTATTGTGGAACCGCGACGCCGTCGCCTCGAACAATTAGCACATCTTCGCCAATTTTCTTTATGCATTTAAAATATTATGCCCAAACACACACACATGTTTGCATTCATTTATTATTATTATGATTTGTAATAAAACACACCTAGAGCAAACAAACACACGCATACACGCGCAAGTGTCAATAATGGCAATAAACCATAAACTTTTTTTATACACATACCCACACATACGCGTTCCTTCGCAGCTATTTATGGCGGATGGGCGCTGCTCAAGGAAATGGCTCGTAAAAATCTATTTTAAATATTATGTTTCTTTCCAAAATTATTAATTATTACTTACATAGGTGACAATGCAGTGGTATTGGTTAAATTTCATTTGTGGAAAGTGCATASAAAATAATAAAAATACTGTTATTACAAAGCAAACCACACCTGTGGTCATATACATTTTACAACTTTTATATAAGGCGATTAGACACGCCTAGAGTGGTTTATGGTTTTTAAATGAGACATACATATGTATTTATGCAGTTAGTTATTACATTTGTATGTACCTATCCACATATATAAATTTTTTTTTCTTGTAAACTTTCTATAACCAATAAAAATCATYAATTAATCGAAGTGCTGAAGACTTTGAGGTCAAAAATCGTAAAATCTTCGAAATACGTGCAAAACAACTAGTTAGGAACTAGTTCACCATATGGTTATACTAAGGCGTGTCAACTGTCAGATATCGGTCAGAAACTACTAGTCCCATACCAATTCAAAACAGACACAAAATGTCCTGTTTAAGCTGTTTTCCTGGCTTCCTTCAAACCCCATCACTCCTAAGGGGAGATACAAGCGATTTTGCATTACTGCAATCACAACTCGCGACTGGAGAGTAATAAGGCTCGAGGGAATCGATAAACGAAATCGAAAGGTAGTGTGTGTCCTGAACAAGGAGTCCAACGGTACTACCATCAGCTTTGGCTTTTAGAGGGTGGTTTTTAGGATGCACTCGATCGATGTACGGGCGTAAGGTTTACAGCTTTCAGAAAAGGCATCAGGAAAGGGCACAGAGGGACATGAAAGTGKATTCGTCTAAGCAATGATCTAAGCAAGTATAGGGGACTGATCTCTAGCGGTTATTTTAGTAGGACGGGTTCGAAAGTCTTACTAGTGCAGAACTCGCACTGGTGAGAGCCCCCTCCGGAGATGCTGAAGAAGTCGATGTCACTAACGGTTTGGACGCGAACTTATTGCATACGGTCTAGTTAAGAACGGATGTTAACGCCGGTGTTGAGTCACTTTTTGATTTCTTTCTGACCATTCTCTGATCATAGGTATATTAGTTTTAACTCTAATAGAGGAGAGTAGTTCTAGTAAAACTAGAAAAACGAATTGGAGCCTTTGCGGCATGAAACTTCGATGAGCTCTTCCGAACACGCCAGGTCGAAGCTCAGTGCTATCTTTCAGCGCGTTTGATGAGTGAGGTCCTCAGTTTTGTAGAAAGCCTGCCTTCGAAAGCTCTGTTTGAAAACTCAGAAAGGAAGGGGATCGCTCTCGCGATGAGCATYGGAAATCAGCTTTTAGCAGAATAAGTTCAATAAGGCCTATAAAAGCGAATTTAGTTTAGACTTGGTATCGTATAAAGCAGGACTTGCTATATATAAAATTGAGATTTAGAAAGCCAAAAGATCTTGAATGGTGAGCCTTCTGCAAGAGTGTAGCGGGCTGCCACGAATCCTATTCCATTGGCGTAACTGAGAAACGTTTCTGGAAACTGAGCTGGTGGTAGCCGTTACAMTACTCCTAGACACTCAGTTTCCGCTACATCTTTCTATAGAAGAAGTACGCATGAAAGAAGAAGATGTTTTCAAGAAGTTTTTTCAGCCTTCTCAGACATTCTGCCTCACGTGAATGGATATATAAATTTTTTAAAACCGTTTAAGCCTCCGGCACGTAATTTCTAACCCACATTTTGTTCCGCATTCTGTTATATAATATGTAGGCACTGAATTTCGCTCAATAATTTTCAAGCAACTTRCTTAAATTCAGTAATTTTTCGGAGTAAGTTTGTGAATATATTTCATTTGAGCATTGATTTTTACTGCAGGTCATAGTAAATGTACCAAATGGCATGTCATTGCACCAGCGCACCAGCATTTGCGTTTATGATTTTTGCTGAGATGTTGTCTATGGTTCCCCTGGCTCGTTACAAGTACATGAGAACGCATATTTACAGTTATATTACAGTTCCACTTGCATTTATGCATGGCAACTTTAGCCAACTCTAAACGGACTGAGCGTTTTGCATGTTTCTATTTCCACTTTTCGCTGTCATTTTTCTTTTCCCCTCTCTCTTGYTTCGCTTTGTGCATCATAGTACAGTTCGATATTCTACTTATGCAATTTTATTTAATGTTGTTTTCAAATACGTGCCCAACATGCGAAATTCTGTTTATTCGGAAAACAGCAAGCGGCAATGCAAATATGAAGGTGCTGAAAAAAATCAGAAATTTTGAAAATTTTCGAATTGTTCGATAGGCGCACGCAACGCCGTCCAGAGCCATTTGTGTTTTGTTGCTTGGGATACATTTTAATCTTCCACAACTATTGCAGCATACATTTTTTGTTGTTTTTTTGCTTTAGCAAAACAGTGCGTGACTACATACATAGATATGTGTGTATGCTCAGTACTCGAGCATAATAATAACAACAACAGCGCCAAATATTGTTAGTAGCGGCAATTCAATATTGGTGCAATAAACACTGGCTGCAGTCAAAACACAAATTGAACACAACACAAAAACAACAACAACGAAAAATTGCCAGACACGCCAGGCCACAAAACACATATTTTCCCGAATGGAAAAATGCAATAACTACAAAATCATAAATCAATATGRAAATGGCGCCAAGGGGGTCTAAACATTGATTGGAGGTAGCCTGCAAGCATGCACAGCTATCTATACATATGTACATGTGTATATATAATATGTATATGTGTCTGTGCGTAGTTTATTCAGCGGGTGGTGATGGAGGCTTTGCGAACGGAAAGTGTTAACGCTGTAATGCCATTTGTCTGGCTGATAACACGTACGTATCGATAGCTGCGAGTGCAGTCAGCAGCCTTACGTGCAATTGCATTTGCATACGCACACACACATACATACCTACACATACTAGCAAATCATTTGAGTGGCTAGAAAGCGCAGCGGCATATGTGTGTATATTTCTAAGCTTCCAGATGTTCTATGCTAGACAGCATGCTGCGTAGTATTGCTGTGAATAGCTTGAAATGTCGACC